TTAAACCGAGTCGACAAAAACGCGATCGTTATCCGTTTCCATTTTCGACACTAATCTTTTTCGTTTAATCACGACTCCTTTCCTCGTAATTTTAACTAATTCGACAATAATGATCATTTTTAGGACGGAGAACGAGCAAGAATACTTTAACGCAACGTAATTTCGCAACAGAAAGTAATAAAAAGAAAAAAAGAGGTTAGGAAATTGAACGTTATTTCCTTTGTTATCAGCCTGCGTATCGTGCTCGTTTAATTCCACGTTATGGGATAATTTTTTTATCGTTACAAGAGAACGATAAATTACATCACGAGTGTAAAGATACTTCTGTCTCGTGAAATTGGCGATGGATCGTTAATGTTTCGCGTCGCGTGCCGCGATTCTCACGCAAGCAACCACGTGGATTCCCAAAATATTTGAACACGGCGTCTGCGCAGATCCGTGCGCAATCAAGTACGCATGCGCGCGACCCACGGACTTCTCCGAATGCATCTCCTGAATCAACCCTCGAGATGATCAGTGACGAGGCGCGCCGCGCTCCAGCCGGACGTTGTTTTTTCTTCTATTACTATTTTTCATCCGCTTCTCAGACTTCTTCTCTTCTTCTCTCTCTCTTTCTCTCTCCTTCTCTTCTCCGATATATTACTTTTCCCCGTAATCGAAAATCATTGGTATTCTGCATCGGATAGAACGTGTCGAGAAAACTTCTGATGGTGTGACATACGAAATTCGTGCAAACTCGAAGTCAACGCGTTTATATCAGGGTGAAAAATGATCGATACGATGTGTTCGTGATAAAAAAATTTCAATTCGTTGATCGTTGGTGAGAGAGATATATATATATATATATATACATATATATATATATCGAGAAGATGAAGATCAAGGAGGAAAATCATTATGCGAAACGAAGCATCGAATATTTCGGTAATGTTGATTTTATCATTATTTTTTAATCGAATGAATTATTTAATATTAAACGACGATACGTAGAAAATTTAATATACTCTTACTTACTAATTAGATGATTAAAAATATACCGATATACCGAAATTTATCCCAATTTTACGATATATATCGCTCGTTCTGGGTCACGAACGATTGTTAAAAAAAATTAATAATCGCATATTTCGATCGAAGAAAAATTCTTTGAGCCCATAAACGAGCCCTCACACAGTATTGTTTACAAATGTGTTCCAGTGTTCCATATATCGTTTTAAGGCCATCGTGCGCGACAATAGTCCGATTAAAAATTTTAATGAACCCCTATATATTTACGTTCGCATCCAATACGTCGAAGAATCCATATCTACATATCACTTTCGACCATCGAAAATTACATTTTTCTTTCTACTTTTACCAATTACCGATTAATTTAACAATTAAATCAAATTTTTCGATTAGTTTCCCAAATTCATTTCATTTTCCACGAAATTCCAAAAATGTTGCGATCTTACTAACGCAAGCAACACGCGACGAAGGGATGAGAATCGATGAAAATTATTTATAAATCCTTCGTCCTTGGAGAATTCTCCCGACGGAGGGGGGACAATTTCGTGCATTCGAAAGCGCCTCCCGTTGTCGTCCTGACGCGCAGGATATGCAGTATATGCTAATCGTATGCGGGGCCTCGCGCGTTGCGCCGAATACAAATGGTCGGCCATCTGCCACCATCTTGGAGCCAACCGTCCTAGCCTCTTTTCCTCCCCCCGCGAACGTGCCACCAACTTGACAAGCTTGAAACAGAACCTCCCTCCCACTCTCTCTCTCTCTCTCTCTCTCTCTCTATATATATATATATATATATATATAAAATAAATAGATAAATAAATAGATAAATAAATAGATAAATAGATACAGATATATATATATATATATATATATATATATAAAAAATCTCTCTCTCTCTCTCTCTCTCTCTCTCTCTCTCTCTCTCTCTCTCTCTCTCTCTCTCTCTCTCAAAGAACTATGGACACTGCGCGTAGATATCATTTGAGATCGGAAAAATTATAATTAATTAATTAATTAAAATTTACTGCTTTATTATTACATCCCTGTATTCCCGAATACACAACGTTTTCATCGTATTTGTATTTTCTATATTATTTTTATCGAGTCGATTAATATTAAATGGTAAATGGTAAGATTAAGCACGTTTGAATCTGAAAAAAAAAAAATGATAATAATAATAAAAATTTTTTCATCCCCCTTGGCAACAGGGGGATCTCGAATCACAAAAACAAACGCGAGGGACGCAATTTCATATTCCCCTCTCGTCCGTCATAATTATATGGGCATCGTCTAATTTCTGAGTCCGTACGTGAAAACAATGACGCGAGCGATAGTAGGGAGAGAAGGAGGGGGAGGGGAGGGGGGAAGAGAGGAACGGTTCGAATTCGACGATGGTCATTCCACGGTTTCGAATCCGAACGGCCGATGGTCAGTCGTCGACGATAAATCGGAGGTGTCTCGTCTCATCCTCTTCAGTGTGCCGAAGAAGACGGAGATCTTTTCCTTTCTTTTCACTCGTCCTCTCTCCCTTTGTTCGTCGTTTGATTATTCGAGAGAAAGAAAATGTATGGGCGATAGATAAAATAAGAAACGGCGAATAAATAAGGACGAAACGAAAATTTTACGGGGTATGCGGGAGGAAAGAAATGGCATAGAGAAGTTTGGACCGCAGAAAAATATGGCGAACACGTGCGAAACGCCCCGGTCACGGCGACGAAATCGGCCGACCTTCTTGGATTTGTCCAACGTCACCCGTGAGTCTGTCTATTTTGCTCTTAATCTGTCCCTCCTTTCCCACTCTTTCCTTCTTTTCGCGGCCCCGAGAGAGATAAGAAGTTCATTCATTTTTTCAGATTAATTTCTCTCTCTCCTGCGAGTATTTTGGACGTTTTATCACGGTTGATCGAGATATATACGTTGTTTTGTGAATTTAAAGAGGGTGGGGAAAAATAGATCTTCGAAATATAAAGAGAGCAATTTTTTCGAATAGTTGTAAAATTAAATTAATAAAAAAAAGAGTCGAGTGAATCGAGCAACAATCGAGGAAAAAAGATCTTGCTTCCCGTGCTTAGATCTCCAAGACGGCCATATTGGCAGTTGCGTTTGCTACGTGACGCGCGTGGCTTCCGTTTTCGGCATATCCGGCCTTCTACCGAATTAATAGTCGCGAACGATTAAAATCGTGGGCCGTTATTCGTCGGCCGTTGGTGCGCTAACGCCCGAGAAAGCCCACTCCTCTCACGTGAACAGGAAGCACGTATAACGGACGGAAAGTTCAGAAAATATAACATTACCATTTGATTTATTTTATAATAAAAGAAAAAATAAACAAATAATACGTTACAAGTTCGTTGCACGCTCGATCTGACTCTTTAAACGCATCTCTTAACACGTCAAGTATAGAGACGAGCTATTCTTTACACGCGAGATTATTGAATTACTTTTTCAGAACGAATAACGAGACGTTAATTTTTCCGAATAATTTTTAATATTGAAAATATTGGACGAGTATTAATTAACGACGATCTTGATTGACGCTCGTTACGTCGAACGTTTGGGATAGAAACCACGTGTTACGAACGCGGAAACGTACCCCTTTGCCCACGCGGCTATGGTGTTCTTCTATTCTTAACAACGCGTTTATTTGTTCGCCGTTTTCACGGGGAAACTGTACGCATGCGCGAAGGGACGGGGGAGAAAATGAAAGTTTACCCCGTGCCCGGTTATTTTCAGATCCTTTCCACCCCACCTTTCCATTCTCCACCGTAAACTCCATCATCGTCTCGATTCTCTGATCCACTACAGTTTACTACATATGAATTACTACATATGAATTTACTACATATTAATTAATCGTGTAATACATATACGTAACGTAATACATGTGCGAGATAAATAGGTTAAAAAAAAATAATAATGAACATGCAAAAATAAAGGTAATCCGAAAATAAATCGTTTCGACGAAAGATAAAAAAGAAAGTCAGAATAGTAATATCTAAGTTCAAACTCGTGCAAACGTTCTTCCTATCTCGTCCTCTAAACTTTACCATCTTTCAGTAAATTCCCTTGAACGACAACCGATAACAGATAGAATCGTTATACGAAGGGATTTTTAAAAAGAAGTAGACGAAAAGAAGAAAAATGTGGGCGTTTCCGGTTATTTTTTGTATACTTAAGGAAATCACGGATTCTTCTCGGTTTGTTTCCAGTCGTTCCGTTTCTGCCAGATATCGATATCGGCCGGCACAAAAGCCTCGTTGTACGAGAAACGATCGCGGTTATGGAAAACGAACGACCCCATTATTTATACCATTGTACGCTCGATAAACTCACGAGCTACTTTTGCTGTATTCAGACGTCTAGATAAGACTTTCGTGGCCTAGCGTTCGTTCCACCAACTACAAGGTTTCAAGGTTAAAAAAAATTGCAAAATATACGCTCGATATTTATTCAATTATATTCGATACAATAATTATTTAACTCGTGTATTCGTATATTGAAATTATTCCAATATATTACAATTGAATAAGTGTATTATTCGTACTATTATTCCATCGCGATAATCTTTCAGCAATTTTTGCGTGTTTTGCGACATGTTGTTTCACAACTCGTTAATTAGGCATCTTCGTGATGTCGTTTTCTCGAATAACGCGGAACAAACGCATTAGACGTAACATTATTTCATTAGGCTCGCGTGTCTCGAGTTGCATTAAGCGAAATTGAGCACGAGGAGGAAGAAAATTAAAGCAAGGCGCGCCTCCCCGCGTTAATGGCTCGTAGAAATTAACCCTCTTCGGTTAATTAATACCACGAAATAGTCATTGATTTATACCTATGTATATAATAACGTATAATAAAATATAATTGAATCGGTAAAAAGTATCATCCAACATGATCTTGGACTAATTGTTATTATAATATTATAATTATTTTTCTCCATTTTATCGATTATAGTAAAAATTTAATACGTATTGAAACACGAATTATTACAGGTTCTCGTTCAGCAACCGGGCTATCAAAGATCGATTCGCATCCCGAAGATGACGTGCTTTTTGTATCGAGCAAAGACAGCGAAATTTCAAGCCTGTGGGTCAATTATCTCACCGCTTGTTTCGAGCAGATCAGTAGGCAACAGGGCCGGCCGCCTTTCAAGTAAGTTACAATTATTAGGTTATACCACATGAAGTTGCCAATTTTAAAATAAATTACAATTAACTGCTACTTGTAAATTCTACTTAACCTATATTTTGCTTGCAATATTTTGACATTGTCCTCTTATATTTCCTATATATAATAAGTTCTTTTTTGTATTAGTTTAACTGTTTTTTGAGAAGTGAACGAATTTAGAATATTATTCCTGTACGAGTTCAAGCTTGACTACAATGCAGCTGAAGCATGTCGAAATATTAGGTTAGCTTTCGAAAAGGATTCTATCTAAGGATGAAAGGACCGTTCGGCGATGGTTTCAAAAATTTAGATCTGGAAATGAGAATGTTGAAAATGAATTCGGAGATAAATCAAAATCCATATTAAACAAAAATTATAAATTGAAAGCCAAAGTGAAAGTTAATCCACAAATATCAGCAGTGTTCATGAGACAATTATCTCCAATGATAGTTTTCAGACATTTGAGTTAATAGTTGCATTAGGTTAATCTTCACTTGAATTGTACTTTTACCATTCATAGAACATATAAATTTGATTAATATCTATAATTTTTATTTTCATTCTTTTGTTCTTCTTATTTCAACTGTAGAGTTCGTCACGTGACGGTGGAAGAATCGATACAAGCCGGCACCGAGGAGAGGATTCGATCGGCGCGTTTGCAGATCGTTGTCGTGTGTCCAATATTGTTGGAACGAATTCAAAATCGTCCGGAACACGCGACGAATCTCTCCAGACAATTGATCACCGACAAAGTGCTCGCGATGATGTTAGGTGTACACGATAACCACATCAGCGAGCTTCACAAATCGATTCTGGTCTCGTATAATCAATGGAGGAAATTCTTCGTGAAAGACCAGGACGAGACGTTTGTTGGTGAATTATTGGGTGCAGCTATTGGAATTCTTGGTACCACGCCACCTCCTGCATTGAGAAGCGACAAAACGGCGTTTTCGGTTCATCCGAAGAAAGTGAAGTTGGTAGGTTAAGTCAACGTTTTAATTTTTTCCCATTACTTTGACGTGTGAAATATTATACACATATATATATATATATATATATAAATTCGAGGTTAAGTTTTCGAAAAGAGGAAGAACTGTAAGCAAAATAAAATTAATTCTTTCAGGGTCACAATCGGATAATAGCGTTGCTGAATGATCCCTTACGACCCGAGGATAACGTGTCGGTGATCGTGGATCGTTGCGGCGAAGCGATCGACATCGCCCACGTGAAACGAAGGAATCCCTACGCCTTGCAATTCTCCATTCCTGACAGATGTTTGGAAGTGTCGATGCTGGTCGGTGTTCGTATATCGAAGAACGGTTGTCCGTTGGGTGTGAGGCAGGTGAAGTGCGAGAGTAGGCTCAGGGAACTCGATCAGATCCTCAGGGCTCACGACAATCCCTTAGAATTCATGTGTCAGGTAATGATACGATAATTATATAAGCGATAATTCGATTTACTGCGAATTCTTTATAATTTGCGACTTTATTCGCAGACATTCGGCTTCAATCCTGGTGACAGGGAACAATTGGATAATTGGATGGTCCACGCGTTTCAACGAAACGTTCCACCGCATTTCAACCTCCTATCCACACCCAGTGGAGTGGTCTCTTCTCAGAAAGTCCATTCGAGTGAGTTCCCTAGTTCGGTTGAATTGTTCTTCTCAACTGAGAAAAATATATTGTACAGTCTGGATTTAAATTTATCTATTCAAATTGTTTATTTACGCTTCTTGGATTAAATAGAAAGACTGGTTGGTAAGAATATAAAATATAATAAGTTTTATCAGATATCTGTAATTTGATTTAATCAATTCATATGTTAGGTACATTCAAAATGTTTAAAACTATATTCAAATCAATGATATTTCATTTGAGATTAAAATTTTGTAAAGAAAAATGTCTTGGAATTTTTTCAAATTGAGATTTAATAATCCTTGATCAATTTAGGTCCTGAAGAAAATCCGACGTTGCTACACTTTGCCGCCCGTTTCGGTCTGGAACGATTAGCTTGGCAATTATTGGAGTGTCCAGGCGGTGATATAGCATGCGACCTGAGGAACGTGTCGGAACTCACTCCTGCAGATCTTGCGGAGCAAGCGGGACACGCGAGACTTGCGCATCAGCTTCGTGGCTACATGGTACAAAAACATCGCCTTTAAACGACGTCACAGTTAGTCCAATGAAACCGGTACTTCCGCGATATTTCTCTATTCCTAATTGCAACTGTCGCTTGGATATCAATATCTAGCTTCTCTTTTTCTTTAATCATTCGTCTACCTTCAATCAGATTTTCTATTAAAAAACGTAATTAATTAGAATTCGTTGGAATCGATGAAAAAAGTCGATTCATCGATTAATTGTAATCTATCATATTCACTTAAGATCAATTAAGATTTCTAAATTTTAAAGATTCAATTTCCATGTTCAATCTGAAACAATTAAAATTTTAATATAGGATGAAAGAGATACAATGCATGCGATTAAAACATTTTTGTAAACTTATGTCATGTTGTATAAAATATGCAAAAATCCTTATAAAAATCCGCAATGTACTAATGAGCATTCCAATCGATTTGATTTAATAAATTTTTTCTTTTTTTTTTTTTTTGATACTTTTTTTAATTTATTTCGGTGAATTAATTGGTATTTTGTTTTTGAATTGCATGTTTCGGGTTTCCCCTTGAATCCTCGTGCGCGGTGCCGCAGCAAATGAACGAGTTCACTAACATGTACAGCTACTTGAAAGTGATCAGCGAGACCACGACGGATCAAGCGGCAAGTGAGTGTCCCTCTTTTGCTAAAAGGTTTATTTTATATATTTTTTTTAAATGAAAATTGGAAAATCTGAAAAAGAAATGGATTTAAATTATTAATCTCAATTGTTCGATAATAAAACTGGGAATATTTTCCAGGTACGGAACCATCAACGACTAACACAATAAATGAAACCAATAACGACAAGGAAGATTATTGTCGTCCACGACCTTTGAGCGAAGCTTATTCAGTACCACCGGCCGCAAGACCAATAACGTCCATAATCTTGCCAGGTCAATTACCAGTAACCACTAGTAACCCCATTGAAGCGAATTACTCGATCGTACCAGCACCAACTCCAGTCATCGTCAACCCATCAACACCGACATCGACGTCGACCATTACGAATGGCCTTGAACTTTCTCTTCAAGGTTACATGAAAATGCATCCAGCTGGTATAAAATTAATCGCTCTTATATATATATATATAAATATATATATAGATACATGTAAAAACTAGAAAATAAGAAAACTCTTTGAATTTTCTAATCTTTAAATTTCTCAATATTATATTTGAATATTTAAATCTTAACATTTAGCGTACAATTTTAATAAATATTTAAATTTCATAACTACAATAACTTTTCAATTTTCAAATACGTTCAAAAGATAAATGTTCAAATTTGATCGTTCAAGGTTCCAAAACACCAACATCGAATATACCAAATCAGCAACCATCCCGAACAGGGACGCCTACGCAGAATCGTCCAGATTCTCATCCCGTGGCTGCTCGAGAGGAGAACAGTCAATCTTCCTGCTCTTATGGAAGAACGACTTCCAATTGCAGCAGTGTGAAATCGAGGGAGCCGTCCGGACCTCAGGACGAGTTATTAGAGATCATAAATGACTTCAAGAATAACGTGTTCACGATAACAGAAGTGGAGAGATTGGTTGAGAATTGGAGGAATCGTAACGACGTTCAGCAAAGCTTCAAAGACAAACAGAGGCAGCTCACTGCGATGAGAGAAGAGTATGAAAGGATACAGAAAAGAATGAAAGAAGAGATGAAGGCTCCAACACCTTTTGATAGAATTAAGAAATTCTTTTCTAAAGGAAAGAAAGGTTCGTTCGGATAATTGATATTGTCATTCGTTAACTTTGTTAATATTGCAAGCGCTTTATTTTTACTTTCCAATTTTATTTAGATTCAAAAGATTCTTCGAATGGAAGTGACGATTCTTCTTCAACCAGCAAAACAGAGAATGTTAATGGCGCACTGGCCGATCGCAGACCAGTTAGTAGTTTAAGTCTGCGTAGCGTTTCAAGTATGTATTTTAATAATGATAATCATTTATATTTATATTAAAAGACAAAACGTTAAAAAGTTTCTTAAAAACATACTATTTTTTTTTCTTGAAAAGAATTATAATTAATTTCTATTTTTTTAGGCTCCTCTTCGTCTGGTAGAATGAGTACTGCTAGCGGATGTAGCGGAACTAGTTTAGGCGACAGTGGAACTCATTCTGATACCGAGGACCGTCGGGTTGGTATTTTGAAATAATTATAATTAAAAAATAAATAAAAATATTTTAATTAAAATTGACATTTTTCTATAAATGAAAAATTATTTCAGTTACAAAATGTCAGAGAAGACAAACCGAGTGTGATGTCGTATGAAATACCACCAACTCCAAAACCATTCACTGGAAGATATTCACCGGCGCTTAGATATTCTCCCTCTCCTCGTTCCTCGACTGGAAACGATCTTGATCTGAGACCATCGCAGACATCATCAAGGACTGAGGATACTGAATATTACATCGCCTTTCCACCTTCGGGATTACCCATCCATTGTAAGCTACTAAAACTAAATTTATTTAAATTAAATAGTGACATTCATTATAGAATAATCTTTAATAAAATTTATTATAATTTTGTTTTTAATTTAAAATCTAAGAAATAATAATTATCATAAATAAATAATTTAAATGCCAATACAATGATATATATAAGTCTGTATTATAAGATATAAAATTAAGACAAAAATATAATTTTAATTTTGAATAAATTATAATCTGAAATTAATAATCTGAATAAAAATTCTAATTATTTTCAATAATTACAAATAGCTTTCAAGACAGAGACTTCTCTGAAGGAACCAAAAACACCAAACTCCCCCTGTGATCATCCCAAGTACCTGGATATGATACAAAATTCATCTCCAGCAACAACTGATATCTTAGAATCAGACGCATCTTCTAGACATCCTGGCAACAGTTATGCAAACATAGACCCTACTACGTTGAACTCCGCGCCAGTACCGCCAGCTGGCATTCCTACAAATTACGTGAACGTGAGACCCGCTTGCGTCACTTCGTTTCAAGAAACTATCCAAGGTCATCAGATCGAGAGACACTCGCTCGAATCAAGTCACATGTGCGAAACTTCAAAAAACTCGTTCAAGGTCGAGACATCCAATAATGGACAAAGTCAAGATCATATCATGAATGAAGCCCAAAGTAAAAATAATCAAGGTCATGTTGCGAATGAAGTCGAAAGTAAAAGCAATGAGGAATACGTGGAAACAAATTTGATGAATAATTCGGAGGACATGGATGTGCCAGATATCGGTAAACTACCGGAATATATGAATGTCGATGTTCCTCAGGATCACAAAGCCGATATAACGAACATGCCTGCACCTCCCGTTCCACCAAGAGGTAAAATTATTTTTTTTTCTTTTTACGTCGATATGAATATTTTATCATGTTATTGTATTAGAAAAATTAGGAGAAAGTATCGCGTTGAATAGTGAAATTTGTTCGAAGTATAAAAAACTAAATTATAAAAATTCGTGACTTATTCATCATATATCGAGAAAAAATTTTACAAACTACTCTTTAAGGAAAATTATATTCAACGAGTGAAAAAGTTCATTGAAATCTATTCCATGAATGTCTTGCAGATTAATCATTGTTTGTTCCCCCTTTCACTTGGGGAATTACGAAGGTTGATTGCTTGAACGAACTTTCATCATCGTTGGTTACTTCGAATATATTATGTATAATTCATTTTTCTCTTATAATCGATAAGTTCGTAACGCTTTTTTTCCCATCTTTCTGTTACAGTCATCGCAAAAAAATAAAAGGAAAAAATGAATACTACAAATGAAAGCATTTGCTTTTTGTTCCCGGAAAACCTTAACAAATGGATCAACTGAAGTGCTCTCGACAATCATTTTTATTGGAATATAACTTCAAATACTAAAATGTGTCCTTCGTAATCGTTAGTATTAGTAATATATTTAAATGTAAATTGTTCGTTTCAAGATGATTCGTATTGGGAAGAATCTGTAAAATGTCTTGAATCTATATTCGAAACGCGGCATGTACATTTTTTTTTCTTTTTTTCCAATACTTGGTAAAGCATGATTTCATCTGTAGATTATTTTGTGTTATTGTGTTATAATTAACATATGTCTATTATTATTCGTTATTATTTTTAAACTGCCTCGAATGCATTGCGAGAATAAAATCGATGCATAAATTAGTTATTAATTTGTTGTTGTTATTAATACCTAATAATCATTATTCATAATAATAAAAATATCATTAAAAAGAGATTTTATCAAGAGATTTTATATATTTTAATTATTAAATAAGTTGAAGTTATTATTAATAATAATAAATTTATTAATAAAAATTAGTTAATAGAAATTTTTAAAGATCTCAAATAATCAAGATTGTTTTGATATCTTTGAAAATTTTTAATTTTTAATCAAGTCAAAATAATTCAAAGAATTATTTTATTTATCCTTAGAAAATTTAGAGAAAAAGTTGATTAATTAAGCATTCGAGGCTTTCTAATTATGCCATTAAGTTGTATATTAATTGCTCGGATCTCGGTCCAAAAAGGAATACAATGCTAGCGAGCACCAAATCAAATTTTCGTCATTTGGCAGGAAGCCAAAACCACAATTTGTATATACTGTCTTCTACTTTATGATATATTATTTCTATAATTCATTATCTATATATATATATTCTTATTATTAAATTAGATCAATTTATACGTTATATATATGTAATTGTTAAAAAAAAAAAATGTTTGAACGATTCCAAAAGACTGTATATCGAAACGTGGCATTGCGTAATCATTTTATCATCGATCATTCAATTCGTATATTATATATCATTATATATATATATCAATCATTCTCTAATACAAACAATATTCTGTATATATAGGCATTGAATTCTCTTTTCTGTAATTTTATACATAGAGGAACGAATGAAATGTGTTTTAAGTACCAAGAATGCATTTATCGTTTTAATTGTAATGTCATAATTATATTATAATAATTTTGTTGCAAAATCACTTTTGTTTTTTCTACTAGATCTATTACGTCCTTTTTATATTTATGTCTATGTCAATAAAAATGAAAATAACGAATTGTGACAAATTATTTCAATTGACTCTTCATGTCAATATAATGATAGTCAATGAACATGATGATACCCAATTATCATGAATTGAACAGAATTTTATAATATGATATAACTATGAAATGATTAATATTCAATTATTATGAATTGAATATAATTTTATAATATGAGTATAAAATTTATTGATATTAAATTGTAATTTTTATCAAGCGATGTATTAAAAAAAAAAATGTTGCTTCTGTTTCTAGAAAAACCGGTTATCCTCGAAAATCACATTTAAAATGGATTATGTAATTCGATGAATCCGTTTATGCAAATTTTACGAATAACGGGTGGAAAAAATGTGAAAATAAATATTTCAGATAATCTATTGTTCAAAAATAGATATCATACATTCTTGATACAATTTTGATAATATTGTCACTTTAATCACAATATTTAGATTATATAAATATATAATATAATATAATAAATTAAATAATAACTCGTTAATCAAATTATAAATAGGAATAAACATTTATAAATATTCAAAAATTATTTTTCAAAAATGTAAAATTGTCAACTTGTTATTGATACGTGTGATTTTTTGCAAATAACATATCGTTGAAGTATAAATGATGTCATATTCGTATACATAATGGCAAATGCATTTCTGAATAAAACATGCAATTGAAAGTATACATCGACAGTATCGAATAATCTGTCGTGCTATCAACATCATAGGAATAACTAAGCGTGTTTAAATTTTCAAAAAGTGTTCAACGTTTGTAACGAACGACGTATGTTTTCTTACAATATATAATTATCTTTGGAACTATAAAGGTATTTCCTCGCTTAAAAAGATACAGAGAAAATATATTGAAATTAATAAAATACAGAGTAAATATATTGAAATTCAAAAAGAATAAAATGAATATAAATTTAAATTTTTTGAAATTATTTAAACAGTAAATTGTATTTGAACGCAATGTTAATATTCAATTACTTTTATTGGCAATTACAAATTTTCATCATATCTATTATTTGATCAAAAAACAAGAATAGTAAACTTCTTAAAATATAAAATTAATTATTTATTTTATCATAATTCATCATAATTTATTTCACAAAAAATTAAAAAATTTGCAAATCGTAATTTTTATTAAATATAGAAAATAATATGAAAAGAGATTATAAATTTATATATTAAAAAATTCTGCTTCTGAATGAACAAAATCAGGAAATCGTACAGGCACCCATTTGTTCTTTATCTCTAAATCTCACAGAAACCGTTATCTTCCTTCCGTTCAATTTAGATTTCTTGTTAATTGAATTTGTCCGGTTAATTATCGCTGCGGTTCGACATCCGAAATAGGAGCAACGATTCTCAATTTCCCTTACGGAATTGTAACTGCTCTATATTTGTCATCAAGTAGGGATCAATCTTATGTAGTAGAGAAATTGCTCTCCCTCCAACAAAACGGAAGTCGCGATCATCTTTTTAAGTAAGAATAAAGCAACATTTTCACAATTTTATTTCAATTCTGAAATAGTAATACGGAATAATTTATATATTTTCTAAGCTATTAGAGAATCTATAACAATGATTATTATTAATAAAAAATAAATGTGATGAAGATAGAGATGTGTTTTTGAAAACATGATAGTGAAAATTTTATAAAAAAGATTATAATTATTTTTAATAAAATTTTAAAAATAAAATATTATTTAAAATATTTACAATGCTATTCTTTTGTAATTTTGCTTTTAGTAATTTTATGCAAGGAAAACATTGAACAATGAAGCTTTTTTTAATCATTTTCACATTGATGTTATATTTCACTATTACATATGGTCAATCCAGGTTTGTTTATCCTATTTTATTTAATTAATTAATTATAATAATTTCTCTATACAATTTATATATTTTCATAGATATGAACATAAATATGAACCATTTGTTGAGAAACCAGGTTCCTGTCCACCACCATTGCCAGTGTATATTTGTAGTCAATCTTGTTTCTCTGATTCATATTGCTTAGGAATTGGCAAATGTTGTCCTACTAATTGTGGAGGCTTTGTTTGCACAAAACCTGTGACTATGAGGAAAATTTCTAAAGGTATAATAAAATAACAATTATTTCTTATCAATAACAAAATTCTATATCAATAATAATAATATATACATATAACTATAGCAATTTTTAGAATAATAATTTAACAATTTTAAAAAATTAATGATCTTTAATTTAAATTTGTTTATATATATATACTTAGAAAAACCAGGTTCTTGCCCAGCAATACCTAAAGGAAGATGGATATGTTCATCAACTTGCAGTGTTGACAGTGATTGCAGAGGAACAATGAAATGTTGTAAGAATCGTTGTGGAGCCATGGCCTGTCAAAAACCAGATATCCAAGAATCTATAGACATCCCAGTTGTTCCATTGCCAGAAGATTCTTATGATATTCCCAGAAATGTAAATCCCAGAATTAATCCAAATAATTATCCTTATTATTTTTATAATAATTAATAAAAATAATTGCAAATTATGCTAAAGCATTAATATGAAAATATAAAATAATTTTTGTTTATCATTATATTAATAAAATATTCTGTGCCATATCATACCAAAAATAAATAATTGTATAATATATTTATATCATTTAATAATAAATTTGTATTTTCATGTTAATTAACAAAATTTTAAATTTATTTAACTGTATAATAATATTTAATACTAAAATATTTAAATTATTTAATTAAAAACAAATTTTATTTTATCTGTATATTATTATATTTTTATATTTAAAATTCAGACGCAATGCTATATATTTTTTATTTTTTTTTTAATCTTGAAATAATTTTACGAAAATATATAATATATCATATATCAGAATATTATATTGCGTGATCGTCATCCTACAAATATGATGTAAAATACATAATATCTACATTTTTTAGATTAAAAATTAAAAAAAAAATAGTTTTAAAAGAAAAATAAAAATGCATTCAATTGACATTCCACATTTGTCTGTAATCATACGCCAAAACAAACAGACAGAGATCAAATAGCAAAAGAAGGATAGAAATAACATAAAATACTGATATCAGCGTCATCTTTAGAGTACTGCAAATGAAATTCATAAAAAAGGACAGAAAATAATAAAAGAGGGATAGAGATAGAATAAGAATTAATCATTAGCGCTATCTTTTATGTATGTTAAAAACATTTTTGAAGTACTTAAAAGATGACGCTACTCTTTAATTCTTACATTTTTTATCTTATTTTTTAAGTTTATTTTTGATATTCAAGATGGCATTATTAGTCAATTTTTATATTATCTCTATCTTTGTCACATTTTTTATTTTTTTTTTTTCATTTGAAGCACTCTAGAGGTGGCGCTAATTTCAATATTTTATCATATCTTTTTCTTTCTCCTATTATTCATTCTCTTCTATATTACTATATCATTCTATAAGATATTTTTAGATTTTATAAAATTATATAAATAAAATCTTAAAAAGATTAACAATGAAATGAAGATTAAATGAAATTAAATTTATGCAATGTATTCAATACAAAATAAAAAGATTGAAATTAAGATATTTTTTACATTAAATGAATAAAAAATTTTTAATGTTAGAAAAAACAAAAAAGAATGTTTTATTTAATCTACAATAAATATGTGAAAATATTCTCAACTTATTATTTCTAAAATTAGTCGTGAACTACGTACAATTTTCATACCACTTATTGCTTAATCCCATTGACGGGAATTTTCATAAAAATAATTTGCATTAGTCAAAGAACGGACATTTGCATGAGTCATGCAAATTTACTTACTACTACAATTGAGATACCCAATTGCTTTATTCATCGAACTGTTAAATCATAATGCAAATATAACATGATGAAAATAAAATGAAAATAAAAATTTATAAAAAAAAAAAATTCATAAATTGATATCGGGAAATATTGTGAAATAAAATCAATTAAATGTAATATGTAAGTAACATTTATATAAGACTATTTTTCTTTTGCTGACCGCAAAGTAGAGGTGGAAACGATAAAGATAATAACATAGAGATTGACAAGTAGACAAAGAAGGAAAGAAAATATTAAAGATTTAAAAGGCTAAACTCTTACACCAGTTAGACGTCTTTCATCTTCGAACTGGAACTTATTCAGAGGAAGAACAATACATATTGTGAAACAGGATCCTAAATAAACAGAAATGTATAGTATGTGTAAACTTTGTGTAAACTAGTCTTGTATATTTTTATATATACAATATTTTGATACATATATATTTAGTGTAAAAAACACTATAAGATAAAAAGATAGAAAAATGAACAATTTTTTATTCTTGAAAATGAAAAAAAAGTATTTTTGAAATGTAAAAAAAAATTGATTTATCATTTATATATAATTTTAGATGAAAATATAATCTTTTTATTTACTTTGAGATTATTCATTATAATCATTGATAATATGCAATTTTGATATATGGATAATGAACTTTATTTTGTCATAGAGAAAGGAACAATTCTCGTGTTAACGTATTTATTAATTGCCACAGCAGTCTGTCAACTATCTCGTAAGTTAATTAATAGTATGAATATATACTTTTAATATATTGTTTTGAGTATAAAATAGATAATAGTATAAAAATATATCGTTAAAATTACATAATAATATCAGATATAAGATATAACACCAAATATCATTTATAATATTAAAAATTCATTCTTGCTTAACATTTGTTTTCTTATATTTTGTTATAATGAAATTTGTTTTTATATATAATATTTACTATATTAATATAAAGTCTTCGGTTGAACACAATAATTAATAAAAATTTTTATTAAGCCATAATAAAATTTTATATATTATTAAATATTTATAATTTCAAAATATTGAATTTATATTTTCAAAAAATAGAATAAAAATTAAAATTTGTTTTTTTCTTACAACTTTCTATATTTCAGATAAAGAGGGTCACTGTCCATTAAGAAATAGTGTTTCAAAATGCACCCCTAGATGTGTTTCCGATTACCAATGTTCTTTTAATGAAAAATGTTGTCCAAATAAATGTGGAAGTGAATCTTGTGTTCAAGCAAGTCCTATTAATACTGGCAATGGATATAAAGGATCATCGAACGGTAAAACACATTTTTTTAATATACCTTCTTGATATATTTTTTTAAAATTCTTTTTCTAGAGTATTTTTTTAAAATATATCATAAAATTTATTTTTTAGATAATGTTTATTGCGCTGGAATAAAATGTGGTCCATATGAAAAATGTCAATTTGATCGTAAAACAAAACGAGAAAAATGTGTTCGTACATAAATGATTTTTTTATGTAATAATTTATGTAATAATAAATTATGTAAATTTATGTAATAATATTTTTTTTATGAAATAAATAATTTCTTTTTTGTTTTAATCAATTTATTTCGTATATAAATTTATTTTTCAATAATAGAAAAATTTCAAATTCAAATTGCTTTCAAATCGAGTTGCGACCAGTAGCGATAGAAACTTGTTGAAATAAATCGACAATCGACATACAGATTTTAATCGATATTTTTCGATAACCTTTTTATTATTTCATAAGGAGTGTATATTGAACAAAATACTACTTGTTTGTTATTAATATTTGTAAAACAAATACAAAATAACAAGATAGTCACATCGTTTTAAAAATTTTTCAATAAAATGGCATTTGATCAATCTTAAATTGTCACAATATATAAAATCATTTCTTAACATTTTCTTAACATTATATAAAAGAGGTTAGGCTTTATGCCGATATTATAATGGCAATAGAATTTTTAGTAAATCGATTGAAAGCACTCGTCGTATTTCTTTTGGGAGTATTTCGGCGAGCAATGTGCTGTTTTCGACGTCGAAGAAGATCATCCTGTGATTCTATTCCTTTATCTGCTATTGGCGTAGTACCGAACACCTTGAACACAACACAACCAGTGAGTTTCAAGTATTACGTCCATCTTTTCAATTCGATATTTTGCAACGATCTAAAGATTATGTAAATCCCTTTGTACCATTGACTCCGATAATAGTAATTACTGAAGATGCTTGCTCAAGGAATTAGAGCACTGGGATCAATGGGAGGAAAATCCTGTCGTGATCGTGCCAGATAGGCCAGTTGACACAATACAAGCAAAGATTGAACAATATAGACAGCAAGCATCTAAACCACCAGAATCTACAGAAGAGCAACAACCAGATTTTTTTGAGGTAGATTCTTTTTATTTCTATTATATTCTAATAATATATATATATATATATATATTTAATCTTTTTTTTTAATTTTACAGAATATGACACCAAAGATCACTGCACAGACAAAAATTTTAATTAAAGATAAAAGCTTAGAGAACACATCCTGGAATTCAACAAAATTTGCTGTGATCAATGATCCTATACCATCTGTAATTACATACTTCTTACAATATTTAATTTTTAATGATATAAAACTAATTAGTGGAACTATATTTATACAGAATGAATTAGGAGAATGGGAAGACAATGCTGTTGGCTGGGAGGAAGAAACAACAAAAGAATTTGGAGATCCCACAAAAACATTGAGGGAACAAAAACGAAGAGAAAGAGAACAGCGACTGTTTGAACAGCAACAAAAGAGAATCGAACGCAGTTCAAGACCACAACCATTAGGAGCAAAATTAAACTCTTGATGAGAAGGAAGAATAGTTGCAAAAATTTATATTGAAAATGATAATTTTTCATTTAATGATGTTCATGCACAAATATTCTTTTCTCTATTGCATGGAACGTCGATTAAAAATAAGAAAAATCAAAGATTATTTATACATTAGAAATTATTATCTTATGTTTTTTAAAATTAGTCAAATCTTATTCTATATGGGAAAGCATATCGCGAAAATATTTTGTTTCAAACATAAAAATTTATATTTTATAAGCTTACTAATATTGATACATGTAGTGAAATTAATTTCTTAATTCAAATTATTTAATTAAATCATTAAATGGTATTTAATATATTAAAAAATACTGAATGGAAACCAAAAGAATTTATTTATTTGCATAATATGTATGCAAAAATAATGAACAAATTTCCATTAAAAAGAATAATAATATTGTTGTTTTTATTGTTGAAATTATTTTATTGTTAAAGTATTTCTAACAGTTAAAGACATTCCATGTAAATAACTTTTTAATATCATATAAAAGCTGATTTTTTACAATCAAATCTGACTATTTTTTAAAGGCTGATCATAAAATCTTATAACTAATTTCTATAAATATTATTTTATTTATATGATTAATCTCTTAATCATATTGATGTAATGTCCAAAACATGTCCATTGAATTTGTAGTGAATCAAAATAAATCATATTACTAAACATTGTGTAATTAAAATATTTTATAAAAACCTTGAAAAGAAATAAACTAACATTTTATAAAAAATTGTAAATATTCATAAATGTTAAAAATTGCTTTGTTTTTAAAATACCGTCTATGCGAAATTATATATGGAAAATGATTATTATAAAGAATAGAGAAATGATAAATGAATGTATTTTTGAAATGTAATTACTCGTGTGTCGATAAAATGTATATGATCAAACAAATTTTCCCCTGTGTACAACCAGATAAGAGTGAACTAAAAGAGATAAGGACGGGCAAAAACCACAGAATAGAATAATATTATTCTTTTCATATTTCTGCTTCATTTCTTCATTCATATTGCTTCTACATTATTACTTATCATCGTTACAAAATTTTTATAAATTATATACATATATTTTTCACATCACTTTGGACTTATTGATAGTAATAATAGTAATTATCTACCGCTATAAATCGGTAAGTATAAAAAAATTTTATTTATACTAAAAGTAAATTTACAATTCATTAATTTAAAATATCTTGAAATTACATTATATATTATATATTCATTTATTAAAATAAATTATTTTCTTTTGACATTCATATTCACAAAAATATTAATTTATTAATGAATGAAATTGCGTAGAAAACATGTGATTTTGCATTTTACACGACTATTCTATAAAGAAATTTGTATTCAATTTATGATAATAATATAAATGAAATTAGAACTATATTTATCATAACATCGATCAAAATGTGAATTTAATGAATGTAAACTTCCCCTTTTTAAATTACGTCATGCGCATTAAAATTTTGATTGTGTACGTGGCTGTGTACATGAACAAAGCAAACAGCGAGTTGCATCTACGTTGACGTGCGCGTGAAATCTATTTCATCCAGTGCCACCAACTTCAGATCATCCATGTCATACGTGTATGAAATAATGCAAAAACTCGTTCGATAGGGCATTTTAAGAAAATTATGGTGATCCATTTTTAGGATTATCGAACGATTCTGCAATTTCTTTCGTTTTTTTTCAATATCATTTCTCAATGATCGCATTCGTGATCGAAAAACACATGCGGTTACTCGATGCTTTCTATCTTCATCCCTAACGACATATGCAAATTCGAAATGTCAACATCAAAAGGTGAGCTATCCATTGGATCTTATGTACAAGAATGGACATAACCGATTGTTTCTAAAATTTGTTTTATAGATTTATATATTGAATAATGTTTATTAACCTCATTTATGAAACATTTACAAGAATATTTTTTCCAAAATATTTTCAAATGACTTTCATATAGGACAGATTAAATTATTAATACGGACAAATCATAAATGTATAAAAAGAGACAACGTTTAACATTTTATCATGTTTAAATTTTTTTTAAGCATATACGTTATATTTTAAATATATTTTTCACAAGGTGATTAGAAGGAAATTGTTTTGTATTTCATCCGAAAAAATATATGTTTTTAATCATACATCACTTGTCAATCATATGGTAGAATATAATTAATAAGTTATATAGTTATTCTTTATTGCAGACTACAGATAAGACGATCTATTTTTAATACTACAAAATTATCGAATTAGACGATATTCATGGTAATTTATTTTTATCCATAAACGAAAATGTAATTGAAAAATCTTTATTATAAATTTATTGTAAATTTCTAAAATGCGCGGAACTAATTGATTAAAATCAACATATTTGTAAGAGGTTATTTAATTTCTTTTTCAGGCAAAAGAATATGCTCTTATCTAAACACAATGTGCTATGTGATAAGAGCATTTTTTAATGGTAATTGTTTCTTATGAATCACTTGTGATACCAATCAGTAATATTGGAATAATGTAAGAAGAATCGAGTATATGTGATATATAGTTATATATTTTTATTATAAATTATAATAGAACATCATAACAATGGGTTCTATAGCTTTGGAAGAGTTCGAACTTATGAAAGACTCTAAATATAGAGTGTAAGTAATATAATTATTGACTTATATTCTATTTTATTAAATAAAAGTATATAATATATTTAATTTTTTTAAATTTTTATAAAATATTGTTAAATTATATTTTAATTTTTTATAAATGGAAGAATATATTTTTATACAGTTATGTATCTGCTGTTGACAAAGCGTTAAAAAGTTTTGAATATACCAGCGAATGGGCAGACTTAATATCTGCACTTGGAAAATTAAACAAAGTGTTATTAAGTCATATGAAGTTTCCAGTTATTCCTAGAAGAATTAAAATATCTAAAAGATTAGCACAATGTATGCATCCTGCTTTGCCATCTGGTGTTCATTTAAAAGCTCTTGAAACTTATGACATTATTTTCAAATGTATGGGCACTAATAGACTGAGTCATGAATTGTTTATATATAGTGCTGGTAAGATTAAAAAATAAAATAAATTTTTTATAAAAATCATATAATTTAAATATAGTCATATAATTTTATAGTCATATAATTTAAATATATTTATTAATTTGTATTCATTAATATAAACATTTTTATAGGTCTATTTCCATTATTGGGTCATGCTGCTATGAATGTAAGACCATCTTTATTGACAGTATATGAAACGCATTTTGTACCTCTTGGAGAAAGATTAAGGCCTGGCTTGAGTGGATTTTTAAGTGGTGTTTTACTTGGTTTAGAAGATGGTTCTGATCATTTTGATAGGTATTATTAATAAAGTAGATTTTAAATATAAATTATAAAATTAATATTTTTAAAAAATTGTATAAATTTGCTTTTAGAACAAATTCTTTACTTGAAAAAGTATGTGAGGGAGTAGGTCCAGAACATTTTTATGCATGCTTGTGGGATTGTTTAGCTTCAAATTCTGGAATTCGATTACCTGCTATATCTTTTGTATTAGCACATTTTAACAAGAAACTGCCAATGGAAGAACAGAATTATATCATGGGCACAGATACTAATATTATGGTATATATGAAAAGTATTATATAAAATTAAATATTATTCTTATTTTATTTTTTAATTATTAAAATTTTAAATCTTAAATTTTAATTATTAAATCAGGTTACTGCTCTTTGTGCTGGAGTACAAGACAATTCTGTGTTAGTACAAAGAAGTGCTTTAGATTTGCTGTTAGTTGGTTTTCCTGTACATAATAGTCAATTAACACATGAGCACATGGTATCGCTAGTCACAGCTGCTCTTGTAACTATATTAAGAAGAGACATGAGTTTAAATAGGTAAAGTAAAAAAAATGAAAAATAAAAATATTAAAAATATCAAATTAAATATTTTATGAAATTAATTTATACATATATATATCATAGACGATTGTTTGCTTGGCTTTTGGGTACTGAAGTCAGTACATCTATTTTAAAGAGGAAAGTAGATACTAAAGTATCAGGAAGTATGGAAAATACACCTACTTATTTTGATATGTATTCAAAAGAAATGTTAATAGAAGCAATAAAGTCATTATTGAAAACTATTTGTGAAGAAAGTCCACAAGATTTAAAACCATATAGAATATTAGTTTCTTTGTTAGAAAAAGCAGATATTGGTCCAGTAATTTTGGATGATATTTTATTTGAAGTTTTTAGGTATAAAAGAATATATATTTAAAATTATCACAATAAAATAATCTTTAATAATATAGAAATATAATTATAATAATTTATGATAATTTTTTAATTATAGAACTTTTTATAATGCTTGTGGGCAATCAAATAGAGTACCAAAAACGAATGAAGTAGTAAAATCAGCAAACTTATTGTTTTCAACTTTAGAACCATCTTATGTTTGGATACATTGTGGTCATTTATTTGAAAATGCTTGTCAAGCTAGAGCAAAAAATAAACAAGAAACGGAAGATATTATTGTGAGGCCTGTAGGTAGTGGGATGCCGAATTTCATGGAAATATGTATATTGACTGAATTCCTACTTGAAACTGTATCATTGGATGCATTTATAGACACTCCTTCCGAACATCTACCCGGTTTGTTCTATGAAATCATCAGTAAACTTTTGTATCACATTGATCTTTTAACTCCTATGGAGATTTCACGAAGTCTTCGATTATGCGCAAAAATTCTAACGAAGGTTCAACCAACAATAGTTTCGAATCACACAGAAAAAAACGAATTGGAAACGAAATTGGATACAATTACTACTACCACAATCAACGATAATTCCTTAACTGCAATTCCTTTGGAAAAAAGTCAATCTGATAGTAAATTGAATAAACCAGATACAACTAGTAGTTCGTTTTCTGAGAAAAGTCCCAGTCCTAGAAGAAGAGCAAACTCTGGGGGTGCCACCAAACGATCTGATAAAAAGTCAAAAAAAAAATCTAGTAAAAGTACATCAAAATTAAGTGAATCTCTACCAGAACCAAATACAAATATTTCAATAGAAATAAATCAAGAATCCAAAGGTTTGCCAAGAAATAAAAGTATGGATGATATAAAGACTGGATATATAGAAACAAATACTATTAATTCCCCGACTAAAGATCAATTGAATACATTAAAACAATCTAGTAAAAATAGTATTATGGGCTCCACAGGATCCTTAGGTAGAGGACCATCTCCTGCGTTTCAAGCACAACATTCAATG